GGGTGAAGGGTAGGACTGAATATAATTGTGAATACCTACTTTAATTGCTGATCATATATGTGTCGCGACATTATGAAATCAGGCGCTCGTCAATTTTTGCGCAATGGAGTTATATAATTGATCCGTATCATCTTAAAGCTTGTTCATTTGTCTTGCTTTTGAAAAAAAAATACCCCCACACTATCTTGAATAAAAGTCAAAGGCTATCATACAGCTTCTCGAGTTGCGATATTTGCTATTGAAGGAAGTGGGGTTGTTTCTTGTCAGAGGTAAGATTAGCGAGAAATTAGGCCAAAGTTTGATGACTTCCGAAGCTTTAACTGTAACTCTTTAAACCCTGAATTTTTTTTTCACCGTTTCCCAGAGTTTTTTCTACAGCCTCCTAAACCTGGTGCACTATGTCTCATTATAACCCCTAAAGCTTGCCTCCAACTTCTAAATATTGGAATCAAATGTTTAGTCATTACTATAAGACTTGGTTCGGGATTAGTTCCAAAAACCAAGCAAAACTAGCTCTAAATAAAACGAAAATGTCACTAGTGTCGGATGCTCCTAGCATCCGATGGGGAACAGGGTTATTACCGCTGGACGCTTCCAGCGTCCGATGGGGTTTAAAGAGTTAAGTATCCTTGGAAACTGTAAATTTACATTTTTTTGGTGCCTTTGACCGCCTTTCTTTAAAAATTAAAATCCACACAGAAATTAGTCTCTAATTAAATGGACTTAAAAAAAGGTGTTGAGCCAAAAAAATAAAGAATTTGATAAATCTCAGTTTCTTTTATTTCATTATACTAATGAGCACCTGATTTCACCACAATGAGTGACAATGTCATGTGTTACATTATTATAATGTCTTGAGATGTTAGGAACAGGGTCCTCTCTATTCATGAATTTATACTGCATTGGGGGTTGTGGTATCAGGAATGACTAAACACTTTGAGATGATGTCAAGATGGGGTGACTTTTTAAGACTTAATTGATTGAGAAATTATTGTTCTACTGATTGACCACCATTACTTTATTGACTGAGACAGAGCTTTGGGACTCTTGCAGTATTGCAGGGTTCATTTTTGAAATGCACCCATCACCATTTGGCGCATTGGGTCAGAAAATGACCCATTTATTGCACATGCCCTGGGTCAATAGGCGCTTTGTTCACACAGGCACCCCACATGCCTTTTTCATTGCTGAAAAATTTCAGATCTCTGTGTGTAGCACATTTTACGTACCAACTTAAAATTACCACCCATCCATTGATAAAACGCTAGAGCTGGAAACTAGATCACGGATTCAAAACGCGAGTTGCCGGCATGCGAAAGGCACGTGATTGCTAGGAGACATGTTATTGGCTGCCTATAACTAAAAAGGTCATCGATGACTTCGTTGCAGGTTTTCCCGATACCGCTTTACTGAGTTTTAGAAGGGGTGATCGGTCGCGGTAAATACGATGTCACGCAATTCGACAAATTTCCCGCAAATATTAGTTTTTAAGATCCGAAGTAATAAAGACATCGAAAAAGTGATAGCAGAACTAGATTTTGCACTAAAAATCTCATGGAGATGCCAAGTTTCATTCATATACTCCAATTAATTACTGACTTATGAATAGTTTTTCCTCAAAATACATCAAGACATGTCCCCATAGTTCTTAGAATGTACTGTCTTTTCATTTAAGCCTGTTTGTAAGCAATCTGGATGAAAGTTTAATTTTTCATTGTCAGTGTTAGTCAAAGGGAGAGCAGGGATGGGAATTTCAAGCATCACAAGTAGACATTGTTGGTAAGTCATTAATCCACTATTTCTCTGTAAAACGCTTACATGACATGTACTTTAACTAATACAAAAACAACCAAGAACAACTCTCCATGCATGTTGCCTACACACTTGACCCATCATTCACAAGACTGACCCATTGATTTTGGCCTGAGTGGGTCAATTGACGTATAGTCGTTCATAGCAAAAATGAACCTTGGTATTGATATTGTTTCTTTTTTTAAATGTCTTTCTTCATTATGTTTTGAATTTTTTTGCAGGAGATTTCTCAAAAAACCAAATGTAGCAGAAGGAAGTGAGCAATTTGGTAAGTGTTTTATAATTTTTCTTGATATAACTGACACTAAAGGTGTTAGCAGAGGACCTGCATATTCACTATCAAGAGACTGAATTGTGTGATATATGATTGTATCTTTTACTATATGCTGTTGTCGTGTCCCTGTCATTGAGTTGTTGCTTTTTACTGGATCTTGAAAGGGAGGGATCGGGCTGGATATATACACAGACTGTCTGGGACTTAGAGAAAGTCTGGGTACCATTGTCTTGAGATAATAATTTGCACCTACTGTTTTAATTTCTTATTTGGAAAGGAAGCACTAAGGCTGTATGCTGATTCTCCTTTCTCTTTGTAAAGGCGAAGTTTGAAGTCAGGATGGGGCACGTGGAAACCTGTTGCCACATCATCATAAGAGTGTAATAAGAGACATTTTCATTGCTGTTCTTGAGGGCAAGACAGATTTCTTGCTGTGAGAAGATATAAATTGTCATGTATTTATGGTGCAGTCTCTTTTTGGTTCTAGGGAGTGTTCTAGGGACATATTAAACATGTGTGTGTGTGTGTTTGTGTGTGTGTGCATGTCTGTGTGTCTATGCATTTGCATGTGTGTGTGTGCATTTGCATGTGTGTGTATTGTGTGAAAGAGAGATTGGGTAAGAGTAAATGAGTGTGGGATGGGGGGGTGGGGTGTTGTGTGTGTGTTTTCATGTACTAAACAGAGAGAGAGAGAATGTGGGTGAGGGTATGTGTGTGTTTTGGGGGTTTGTGTATATTTGTGTGCACACATGCGGACTTGAGCGCATATATTCTCTGAAGATACACCTGTTGTTTTTTTTCCTTCTCTATCCAGCTAGTTTGTCCAAACAGCTGAGGAATCAGGAGTGTCCACAGTACGCTGGCTTCTGTTGCCTTGCCCAGGCCAGGTACATACAGCTTCTCAAGTTGTTTTTGTTTTTGTTGCTGTTGCTGTTTTCATTGTTGTTTCTGATTGTGTTGGTGTTGTGGGCACAGTATTCTTTGTGCTCATATACTCCTGCCCAAGGTGATTTTGTACAAGATGAGTAACTCGTTGCGCATGCGGAACCCTATCTGAATGCCCTCGGGTCATTTTGTACCCCCGGGGTTGTATTCTTCACATTTTAGAATACTTCTAGTACTTTTCTCAAAAAGTAATTTTGACAGAATGCTATGCAAAGCGTACGAATCGGATTAATGAGTAAATTTCCTCTTTGGAAAGTGGTGGCACAGAGTTCTCCACGTCGTATGGATTCGATAGTGAAACACGACGTACGGATAGGATTAAGGTAGATACAGGTACACGACGTACGGATAGGGTTAAGGTTGATAACTCAAATCAAAACAGGTACCATGTACATTTTGTCGTCTAAATGTATCCTCAATTGTTCCTTTGACTTTGGTACTTAGTTATTTTTCTATGTATCTATGTATTGTAAGCAGGGAGTTGAAGCAACTCACCCCCCCCCCCCTCTCTCTTTCTCTCTCTTCCAGGTGTGAGAACTCACTGGCCAACCCATCGGGCGAGGCCCAGGCATTGCTAGATGCAGCACGTGCGTTCTTGGAGGCAGAACTGTCTGACAGAGAGCTCCGAGTTCCGGGATTTCAGGAAGACCTGACGGCCTCCATCAACTGCTACAGTCATGCTATCAGGGTAAAGATCAGCTAATCTTTTATCTATTCCTTATTAGACCAACGTTTGTCTTTCAAAGGATAGCTTTTGACCTGGTTTTCAGGATAACTGGAGGTTGGTGAAAAAAGTTCCTTATAGGAAATCTCTCAACTGCAGAATATTTTTTTTAGAATAGGCGAATTGAAAAAAATTCTCTTCTTCTTCTAAAGGAAAGCATCCAGATTTTATGCTATGGCTATCCCTGTAACTAAAGTTATATTTTAACATGGCACAAGAGATAAATAATAATGATAGATAGTTACCTGCTGTATCATGTACCTGAAAATGTGAAGTATGTGTTTCTGATAACACAGATGTACATATATGTGTCTTATGACTATGGGAAAGGGTCATTCCTCTAGTTGGTGAAAGTGGGTCTGTTAACTCATTCAATGCTGAGCGCTCTTGCAGTGAACTCCCCTCATATACAAGGCAGTTTTGTTATGGCAACATAAATTTAGGTCTATCCAAGAAAATCAATCAAAACTACAGGGCTCAAAGGCTGTTTGAGCAGAAAAAATATCTCATAATGCATCTCGATTAGTTCAAATAACTTAGTTTGGATTAGATAGAGTAATTCTTTCTATAAAGATAGTGAGGTGAAATGCGAGAATACTTGTCGCTAGTATGTGGGTGGGGCCCACGTTTCGCGAGTATTCTTGTCCGTAACACTGAATGAGTTAAGAGCAGACCAAGGTAACTGTCACCACCTAAGACTCAGAAAGTGTTCACTTTATATCTCAACACATTCAAGTTAGTTCTGTTGGAGAACCTTTATGAGAACAGCCTTCTTCCCTCTGCTTTGGGATGAGTGATAAAGGCCTTTAGTTTCTCCCAACAACTTAGGTGCTGCATCAGATTTGAACTTTTTTCACATTTAGTACAGTTCACAGATGCAGTCACATTTGAAGCCTGCCTTCTCCTCTAGAGAAGCAATGTAAAAACAGCAAAACGAACATTTCCACTGAGCCCAGAGTCCCCCCCCCTCCCCTTTTCTTCCTTCCAAGAAAAAAAGGATGCCACTCAAAAAACTGTTTGACCAAATCCATTAGTAAACTTACAGGGTTCCCGCGGCCTCCTTGAATTCAAGGAGTCCTTGAAAACTCCTTGAATTTGCATTCAAGGAAAAATCTCCTTGAAAACTCCTTGAATTTTGCCAGATCGGACAGGAACACGTGTACAGGGTGACTGCCAGGCCCCGGGAATCCCGGGGGCCCCTGGAATTACCCGGTCATTTGAAAAAAATCGCCGAGACCCGGAATGCAACGG